CCTCACACAGCAGTGTCTCCCTCACACAGTAGTGTCTCCTTCACACAGTAGTGTCTCCCTCACACAGTAGTGTCTTCCTCACACAGCAGTGTCTCCCTCACACAGTAGTGTCTCCCTCACACCGCAGTGTCTCCCTCATACAGTAGTGTCTCCCTCACACCGCAGTGTCTCCCTCATACAGTAGTGTCTCCCTCGCGGAGGACGCACTCAACTCACATGGCCCTGGCCAGCCGGCGCGCCCTGGAGGCCAGCACCTTGTTGCTGGGGCAGACCGTGACGGCGGGCGCGGCCACGGCCCACAGGGGGTAGTGCGTCGTGTCGATGGCCAGGAGTGTCTGGTGCGCGCGGTTGAAGTCGTACGCCCACACCATGCAGTACGCGCTGGCGAGGACCGACACCCCGACGGCGAGCAGCCAGAAGAACCTGCGGGGCACAGGACACGGAAATATTGCTCGCACGCTCCAGCCCTTATTCACTGGCACGAACTTTTCTCCGCACGGGCAGACAACTTTCCCGAATTTCGTTTCGTGCACGAAGTGCTCGTAGTACCCACCTCTCGACGCCGTGCTTGCCGGGCTGCGCGATGTACTTGCAGCCGTGCAGCCCCGTCAGCAGGCAGAACTCGAGGGCGGTGCTCCGCAGCGCCGTGAACTGGCGGCGCCTCTTCATGGAGGCCACGGCGAGCAGCCGGGTCCTAGACCGGGTCCGGGCGGTGGTGGTGGACAGCGCGATACGCGAGCCTCCCTCGGTCGACCCCTCCAGCCCGTCTTGTAGCAAGCCTACGCACGCGTGTGCTGCCGCTGGCAACTGGCCGGCTGCGTGGTTGTGGTTCCGCTCCCACGCCAGGACCTGCCCTGCCCGCCCTTCACCATCCGGTCGCGCATCGACCACCGCCTGTGAAACACTCTTAATGACCCCAACGGACAAATTTATGAAAAAAGATTAATTGCCGAGGTGATTGGTTCAGGGACATGGACCTGTTTCGAGTACCCTAGCTCGTGTGTTACACTGTCATCTCAAAAGCTGAGGTTCTAAACTACCCACTTTTGAGATTTTCACCCAACCAGGACTTCCATTCATTTCAACCAAAAAACAGAGACTGTGAGGTATAAAAGAAAAAAAAGTTTCTTTTCTTATTTATTGTAAATTTGTTGGAGCAGGGTTCACATTATAATTATTCAGCTAAATTGTAACAGATAATTTTTTTTTTTTTTCAATTTGTTTCCAGCCTCAGTTTCAAATAATAACATATCAGTTATATTTAAACACTAATTGTGCGGAAAATATTAAAGCCATTTTGAGCAGTACTAATGATGGAGGAGTTGATTTGAGGATGCCAATGTAGTTCCTTTATGTCTTTCTGCCCTTGATGTATGAAGAGAAGTTGGGGAGGAATATCCTGAAATTCACAAAAAAAAATTATACATCACTAACAACTAGCAAAAACCATTAATTCAACAATAAATTCAGTCATTAAACACACCTGTAGGTCTTCTCCTTGATTAGAATCAGAATCCCTTTCAACTGCTAGATCCCAGAGAGCAATTTGGTTATCTGCTCCACCTGACGCAAATATTGTAGGTTCAGTTGGATGCCACTCAACTGTTGTCACTGGTTCAGTATGATGTTTGAACGTTGCTACTGAAGCACCCGCCTGTAATAAAAATAAGATTATAAAATGTATGTGTTGCAGATTGATTTAATAATGGTATACTATATAGACCCTAAACAATTAGTATACCTTGAATTGTCTTAAGTCCCATATGTGAAGGAAGCCATCATCTCCTCCTGAGACAATAAGGGGTTCCTTTTTGTTCCAGCTAATAACATTAACATCTGACAAGTGTGCTCCAGCAACTGTCAACTGGTTCGCTTTATTAGGTGCTGCACGGGTGTCCCAGATTCGAATACTGTAATCAAACTTAATTAAGCAGTTGTATCCATTAAATGTTTGTGGTGACCTTTTGATTGAAAATTTACCTTTTGTCGACGGAGCAAGATGCAAGTACATGAGGTTCATTAGGGGACCACTGCAAGTCTTCAACTGAATCAGTGTGACCTGCAAGAGGACGCTGGTCAACATTCCACGAGGTTAAGTTGTCACTTGGCGTCCAAACATGAATGTGACGAGTGCAGTCTCCAGTAGCCAAGACTCCTGGAACAGGAAAAAAACACAAATATTTTGACTATTTCCATATAGTTATTGTTGGTAGAAATTTAAATAAGTATAGTATACCCGGCATAGTTGGACTCCAGTCGATTCCAAATCCTTCAGTTTGATGTCCAGTAAATGTAAATAATGGTGGCACTGAGTTAGCCATTTTACCATAACCTTCCCTCTTGACTTTCTTAGGCAACTGCTTGTTTTGCTCAACATCTCGAATTGATTGGTTTAAGTTCCAAATGCTCACGCGAGCCAGCTCTGACCAAGATGCGGCAAGCACTGTGCCATTAATCTCTATTGACTAGAAAAACATTTTTCATTAGAGGTACCAGCATTTCCCATTTTAAAAAAACTTGTTGTAAATACTTACCCTGACTCTGTTAACGCAACCTAAGTGTTTTAAAATAGAATAGTGCATGATTGGCTTAGAACCTTCAGTGGTTTCCTCATCTTCGCTTTCACTCGCATCATCATCATCATCTTTAGATTCACGCTGAGTTTTAACCAAATTTGACATCTGGTAACAAATTAGATAATGTATTAGATGTGTGAAATAAAATATAGGAACTAGTACGACTAAAATTACAGACTTTCCCTACCTTAATAACTAACAAGCAATTGTCTCCCTTCTTGGGTGACTGAGTACCACCAACGATAAATGCAGTATGAGGGAAGTCCTCACGGTTGTCGCCTAAATTGTCCTTGATTATATCAAAGCTAAGGCATGGTGAACCTGAAACAAAATAACTGATTTTAAAGCCAACATAGAATTGGGAGGTAATGTATACAAACATACACACAATAGCCATAACCTACAGAAAACTTTAGAAGGAATGACAATTCTTTTAAGAGAAAGGTTGAGGCCAGAGAGACGAATACGATTTAATTTATTTTGAGAAAATTAACACTAACCTGCTTTGCATTCATGCCTCATTAGGTAAACAGATTCATCACATTCTAAAACTTCTCCTTTATCCAGCGGCTTCCCCGGTAAATACACCTTTCGTTCCACTCTCTCGGCTGGAGCCCCACCCTCCTCCATCTCCTCGACTTCCATCTGATCCTCATCCATGGTCAATTATTTGTCAACAGGTGTCAAGCACAAAATATTTACTTAAATTACTTAAATTAAGGAATTGGCCAAGAACACGTGTCTTTCGTGTGGCCGCGAGCTGGGAACACAAACACAACGAAAAGACAAAAGACTGTATTGTTGTGATCGTAAGTTTCTCATACTCATTCTGCAGCTCGATTTCTCATGGGTGAACGACCTTGGCGCGAAACCTTTGTAAATTATGAATGGCGCGGGGCTTGAGCCATTGATGATCCGCAGAGCCAGTTGTGGGAAAATTTTCATCACTGATTCTACGTCTCCAAATCTAGAGTCGTCACACAAGAAAGGCCCAACAAAATACAGAACCTGGCATCAGAAACTGACTTTGGTTCTCATGGAGAACCGGGTGAATCTCTGAATGCACTGCAGTTTTGTGGGATTGCATACTCGCTTCGGCTGCAGGGGCCATGGCGCCTTACGGACGAAGGAAGTAGGCAAAACCGCAAGCCGGAAGCGCATCCCTTTAAAGATATACCCGGCACAGTTGACTTTTTGCCGGACACCCCACTCCCCCTCCTTTTACGGAGTGAGTGTTCCCTTTTCCTTACACCCACTGGTCACAATTGCGATCAATATGCATGGATTGAATGATCATTTTAACATGTTGAGTCCGACATACCACATGTATGGCCAAGATGGCATGTAAAAGGACCCCCCCCCCTCCCCCCTGGGACTCAACGTGTCAAGTGAACAGGAGCGATAGAAAGAAATAATAGTTTCAAGTGTCAGTGTTTACGCGCCAACTAACTAATCAGCATGTGAGAGCCAACCACAGACCACAGATATCGTGTGATGTGTCGACCGCATCTTGTCGATGATTATCTTAAGCCAATAATGAATCCCCAGTCTGGCGCACAGCAAACGGTGCTTCCATGGCGTAGGAAAAGCTCGGCTGCAACATGTTGCCTACTTGCAGATAAATGTAGCTTCAGGTTGCCTACCCATTCAGGCGGTGTATGGGGGTGGAGGGGCGGGGGGGGGGGCATACGAGATGGGTCCTTTTTTCCATTCATTCCAACTGTTTGTCAATTTTTACTGCTCGGCATATGAGGGATGAGCCTAGTAAGAAGAAGAAAAGAAGAACATGGCGGCGCGGTGGCAGCGCGTAGCGCGGACCCATAACAAGCAGAAGCCCTTGCCGCGCGGCGCAACGGTAGAGTCAGGAATCCTTATTTTAGCTCCGATTTCGATGCGGTTTTTTGCCTCTCATAGTAAATTTTCACGCCGGACACGATGGTGCTATCCATTTTAACCGTGGTTTGCGGGAAATACCCGATATAGTGAGTTTTTAAAGAAATTCGAGTTTTGAAATCGCGATAAAGGACCGGCAAGCCACGAAGACTTGTTAGATCGCTAGTTTTCTTTGACTTTTTCGAAAAGTAAGTGAGTTTTATGAGATAATTAAGGTCCTTAAGTATTAATTTCGTTATATCTACACCTTATTGGTGCACCATAGTATCATCATCTTGCTTGTTCTGTTTAGCATGGCGGGCGGCAGGCGTCGAAGACGATGCCATTATAAAGGTTGTAACCACCACGAAGGTGCTGATAAATCAACCAAAAAATGTACATTTCGGGTTATTCCAAAGGACCCTATTTCAGCTAATATTTGGCTTAGTTATAGTGGAATAACTCACCTCACCCCGAAAAGAATTACAGCATTCAATTGCTTTATTTGCTCCTGCCACTTCCAGGAGGGAAATACATTTCCTGATGAATATATTGAGGAGTACACTGATGATGTGAGTGGTTTATTGAATATGTTGTCAATTTTTCAAAGCTGCATGTTCATGTACAGTGTGTTGCATGCTACGTAGGAAAGCACAATGAACTTGTCTATGTTGCAGGGTTTTTGTGAAGGTAGTCATGAGATGCCTGTGAACACCACAAAGAGGTCTTTGGAGAAAAGTGTACAAAAGTCTACTGTAAAAGACTCTCCATTGGCAAAGACATCCCGAGTCGACAATGCCATCACTCCCAGAACAAATATAGCACTTGCAGCCCTTCTTGCTCTTGTAGGTCATAAAATGTACCTAATAAATTTGTGGAACTCGTTTTAAAGGTATTTAATTCTCTGAATGTATATTATTTCTTAGCAAGGCAATGCGGAGCTGAGCGGACCAGCAGCAGAGGTGACTGCAACGCCCCGGTCTCATGTGAAGTACTCTCCTAGAAATCGTTTGTGGATTGAACGAGGTTCCTCTGTGCGCAAGAAAGCAAAGAGGACATTAGAACTTATGATGGTCAGTTAATGTTTTTTACTTACATGGTGTAATGGTGATTGTGCGTCTGCCTGCTTAGTGTGTGTCTGCATTCTACTTATTAGGAATCCTCTATGTCCCAAATTGAGGGGAAAGGATGCTACCAGTTATCACAGAGTTATGGAATTGAGGACTGTGATGACCTTGGAGTTGCTCCTTTAAACATGTTCTGCTCCACTCCCTTGTCAAAACCCAACATAACTTCAAATCTCAGCCCACTAGTCAACTCAAGTCCAGTTTCAAATGTGGAGCAGCACGTAACATCTGATTATCCTAGTCAAACTAACAGAGAGACACAGACTGAGGTAAGCTTGTGCATGATTTCAATAGTCGCAGTGTACTGCTAAACAAAATAGTTTAATTTGTA